ATTTAATGTCTCTGGCGTGTTTAGTGCTTGATTTATCGCGCTTTTAGTAGTTTTTAACAGTACCGTTATATGGGGAGTGGGCGGAGTTGCCACCCGATTTCAACTATTTTCACACCGTCAATAGAAGTGCTAAAAATATTTGCTTCCAGTGAATTTTGTTATTATAGCATTAGCAGTTTAGGAGATATGCACATTAAACCTATTAGGGGCGGGACCACGCCCACTTTGTAAAAAAAAGTTTTAACTGCAGATGCCCCTCCGTAATGTGATCCTGTGTACCAAATAACAGTCTTGTATCTTATTGCGGAGCTTAGTTATGGCAAGTTATTTGTTTTTGATTAATGGCGTTTTGTGGGCGTGGCAGTGGTCCGATTACGCCCATCTGCAATACCAACCGTCTCACGGTACCAAGAAACATGTCTAGCAAGTTTCATAAAGATATCTCAAATTTTACTCAAGTTAGAGCTTGCACGGACGGACGGACGGACGGACGGACGGACAGACAGTCACCCGGATTTCAACTCGTCTCTTCATCCTGATCATTTATATATATATAACCCTATATCTAACTCGATTAGTTTTAGGTGATACAAACAACCGTTAGGTGAACAAAACTATTATACTCTGTAGCAACAGGTTGCGAGAGTATAAAAATGGAAACCAAAGGAAACGAAATTAGTCTGTCGGACAGAAAAATTATCATTAAGTTGTGGAAAGATGGCGAAAGTTTCAAAAAATTGGGCAAGCTATTGGAAGAACGTATTCTTCTGTCCAGCGCATCGTAAACAATTTAAAAAAAACCGGAATTTTAACGTCAAAACAGCGATCTGGCCGTCCGAAAATATTATCAGCCCGGGAAGAACGGAAAATAATAAATATGGTGAAAGTTATTTGGTACCCTCGAATTACGTTCACAAAGATTATTGAAAACGTAAATATAACCATTAAAAACACAATTTGTGCCGAAACTGCTAGAAAAAATTTACGAAAAGCTGGATATCATGGTAGAGTCGCTCGAAAGAAACCATATATTTCACTTGTAAGCAGGCGAAAGCGCATTGAGTTTGCCAATAAATATATAAATAAATCGCCGGAATTCTGGAGACAAGTAACATTTTCGGATAAAAGTAAATTTTGCATGTTTCACATAAAAGGTCGACAAATTGTGTGGCCCAAGTCAGGAATAGCCCTTGAAAAGTAAAATCTTTTTGGTACAGTTAAACCCGGAGGTGGCGGAATTATGGTGTGGGGTTGCATGGCGGCTGGTAGTGTGGGTCAGCTTGAATTTATTGAATCCACAATGGTTAAATTTGGTTATTTGAACATTTTAAAAAACAATTTGAAACAACGTGCAGAGAATCTTGGATTATTTTCGACGTTTTGGTTCCAACCAGATAATGACCCGAAGCATACTGCGGAAATAGTTAGACTTTGGCTCTTGTAAAATGCTCCTAGACAACTTAAAACGCCCCCTCAATCACATCAATCCTATTAAGCATCTATGGGATCTGTAGGAAAAAATAATTCGCCAGCATACAATAACAAGTAAAGAGGTTTTGCGAAGTGTTATGAAAGAAGAATGGTCCTATATTACAGCTGAGGAAACAGATAAGTTGGTAAGATCAATGCCAAATCGATGGAGCGAAGTTTTAAAACAACGCGCTTATCCAACAAAATATTGAATTTAATTTTTCTTTATCATTTTTAATACTTTTGTAACTAATTTTAAAGCTGAACGCAGACTTAATGGTGCCTATGTTTACTTATCCTTACACTACAATCCCGTTATCACAAAAATTAAAATAGAAATATACATTTTTGTTTTTGCATTTTTAACTTAAAAATATAAAGAAGAAATACATGTAGAAAATTTGAACTGAATTACCTACATATGTATTTACATTGTGCTTTTATTTTACTTAAAAAATAGTGTCGGGTGAACGCAGACCTTATTGGCTATGTGTATGTACATATACATATGTACATATATTGTAATGAATTTAATCTCTATTATTATAATACAAAATATTTATTAGGAATGTATATTAGGTAAAAACTAAATTATTGTTGTTTTAAGTTCTCTGATTGAGGGACATACATACATATGTACGTATGTGTACATATATGCAAATATATTTGGACATGCGAATGAAGGAATATTCACATACAAATTGTTAATTTGAAAGAAGTACATGACGAATGCTACTTATTGCAAATTTACATCAAATATATTGCCTGAGTTCAAATCCTATCACAGGAGTTGTTTTATTCCTTTCTTAATTTTTATAAACCTTTTTTATTACATTTATTTTAATTTAATTTTAATTTTTCCCTCATTATATAAATGTTATTCAAAACTTATTATTGATTTTTGTTATTCTAATTTTCCTTAATACGCATGCCAAAAACATCTGCGTATATATTAGCCGTTAGTTTATAAGGTGGTGAAAATTTGCTTGGTACCTTCTTAGAGTGGGGTAGTTTGTTGAGTTCGCCTTTAAAGAGCGGAGGGTTCCTTTTTGACGTGGTGTAATTTAATTTTCAAATTTGCGCGTTTTCGATGTTTCTTTTTAATTATTTACATTTTAGCACAGCTAACTTTTGCGCCTTATCCATTTATTACTGTCGCTTTTTCGTTTCATTCGATACTGGAATTACAGCCCAACGAGCGCAAAGAAGTTTCACTTCAAAAATCAAATTTTCACGAATATCCCACCTTATGGTCGGTAGAAGCGGTGGTGAGTGTTCATTTACTTTGCGCTCTCATAAGATAGGTCGTATTAGCTGATTTGGTCTACGGTTCTGCGTCAGTGACTGTTGCCAGCATAATAGCACATTTGGGTTGCACACATTACTATTACTTAAGCCCCTTCGGCATGACAAGGCGACCAAAGCTGAATGAGATTCTCATATAACTAATTACAAATATTCGTACAGTACCCGGATTAATAGTCACTGCAGTAAATAATATCTTTAATTTTTTTTTCATTCAAATGTAACAATTTCATAAATGTATGGTATATATCTTGGATGAATTAGGTTCAACAATTTGTCATTTTTATTATTAATTTGAATATTTTAAACAAACGAGCTACAATAAAAAATTTCCAAAAATAGATATAAGCAAAACATATTAAGTTTTGCATAAAATTCTAAATATAAATAAATAATAAGTACGTATATATGTTTGCAACAATATGTAAAATACTATCAACAGAATTCACCTACATTTAAAAGTGTAAATATTTCCATCACATCTTCGATCAGTAAGCTACTTGAGACAATTCCACGATTTAAATACGGGACCAAACTTAGAATTCAATTCACGTGTATTTTGTTTCCATATATTCGGACCATATTCTGTTCTCTTTTCGGAGCAAAAGTTCCATATTGTTAATGTTTCATCATTGCCAGATGTCGCCAATCTGGTTCCATCAGGGCTCCACACCACGAAACGTACTCCACTTTCCGGAATGCATAGCAAATCTACAACACGATTCAAGGAAGACATGACGAGTATTTTAAAATCCCAGCAACCATCGTCACCTTTAAGAAACAAGTTCAAAATTGTTTTTACACTGTACTGATACAAAACGCTCCTGCTGAAAATTTATTTGAAGTAAGGCAAATGTTAAATCATATAATATTTAAAAATATAGTGTAAGGGAAAATTGACAACCAGTTAATTTTAAACAAGATGAGTCATACCTTTATCTTTCTTGATGAATTGCCAAACCAAACTGAGAATAAATCACTTTACAGCTATTAACATATATATATGTATATAATTCCATTTCTATCCCCATTAGTTTTAGGTGAACTCTGTAGCAACATGTTGCAAGAGTATAAAAAAATTTAAATAAGATAGTAAAAACAAATATTTTTAATTATTTGACCTTTTGTCGACGTGGTATCAACTGATATCAAATCACAAAGTTTCGTATCATTGTGTCCAGTGTTGGACAAAAGAAAAACTATTTTCCACCAAGGGAAACAAACTTTACTATTTAAAGCGATAAAAACTTTCGGGCAAACGTATGACAAATGGTTAGACGAGGTAAGCTTTAAGTCTGTTTTGAGAGGAGTCAATGTACCAGTCTCATCAATTAACTAAATAGAAGTAAATATAATTTATAACTTTTGCATCCATAATTGCAGTAATTTTTTTATATAATAAAGTAACTCATTAATAAACTATTATATAATTGGCATAAATTAGACATTTTTCAGACTAGTTTCTGTCCTTTGGGGAAGCCAAGAACTATCTATGTATGCAAACCAGTACCATAATTAGATGGGGACCCCATTTTTTGGAGAACTCACCAATATATTTGAAATGTTATATTCTACTCACTACCGCACTGATGTTAAGGAAAATCTCCGGGTATTTATATAATAATATTATTTATATTTATTTTCGCATAATTATTATTAAGTAACACAATTATTACAAAACTGATATCGAAAAATATGCGGGATTGCTTTGACGAAACGATGTGACGTGTCGGTCCAATCGCCAGTGTATCTGGAAACGCGTGACAAGATACCTGCTCTAGTTAGACGCGTGCGGAGGGAGTCGTATCGAATGATGTGGCGCAGGAGTATCAACGAAAAAAGGAATAGCGCAGGATCGCTTTCTAATTGAATGTGTGAGATGCGCGCAGGATCGCTATTTTGTCGAATAAGGTGGTGTGGTGTGGTGAGGTGCGATGCTGTGGTGTGTTGTGTTGTCCCGTGTGCTGATGTATGAGTGGGGTGTATTGCAGTGGGTTATACTAGGGTGTGCCAGTTTTTTCCGAGTAGAGTGGTGTGTATGGGTAGGGGAGGCTTATCTCATTTAAACATCCTGGGCCCCCTAGGCGAATTTTTGCCTAGTATTACACGTATTCAGCGTACTGCTGGTAGAGTAGCCTAGGGCGTGGCATACATGCTATAAGCGTTGAAAACAGCTTTGGTTTTAAAACATATTTAGTATGTAATTAAATGTGCTACCGGTAAGCAATTTTATTGATTTGTCATGTTGATCTACTCTCTACTTGAATTTGTTTTACAACTCATGGTATTCGCTCTTTTTTTTACAATATACGGAATTATTAGTAAGGACACAATCTCCAAGGTTTGTCTTTCTTTGGCCTCTTGTTGAGATTCTGTAAATATTATTTATTCCATCAGCATCATTAAGAATTAGCGATTCCAGGCCTGTCTCAGGTGGGCCAGAATGGATGCTCCTTTGAGACCCTTGAAGAGGGATCTTGCGAGAGTGAGATTTGTGATTTTCGCTCACTTTTTTGAAGTAAGATTTACAACTTTTACAAGTGTTTCCCATAGACTACCCGTATGATGAGCGCTTAGATTGTAAGTCTGAGTGCGTCACTATATCACATTGGAAGTATGGTGAACCCTTAACTTTAATTTTGAATTGTATTTGATTATGAAAATTTAGGCAACTATGAGGCACTATAGTAAGAGAGATGTCCATTTTTCGACTTTCTTGGGACAATTTGGTTATATGTCATGTTAAGTGCCTATGCACTAATTTGGCAATAGTAGCGCGCCACATAGCTCAAGATTTTTGAAGCATGATTTTTGTTTCATTATTGGCAAGAGCCATTCTGCGGGGTCGAAAAGTTACATAACTGTGTTTTTAAAAACTGATCTTGTCAGAACGGACTCTGATTTTGTTTTTTCTGCCTGAATTTAGTGGTTGTCATCTGACGTACCGGCCATTATTTGATCGAGTAGTTGTGGCTTTGTAGAAGTCTTCACAATACTGATCTTCTGGGGTTGTAATTGATATGAATTGGCGTTTTTCTAACTCCCTAAATTTCCTTAATTGTGAATTAACGTATTCTTTAGAGTTTTCGTCAACTTGAGTTATTGATGTGGAAACTGGTTCTGTAACTAGTCCACTTAGAATCCAACCAAATATAGTGTTTTGGGCTAGAAGGGTGGTTGAAATTTTTTCAACATTTTCAATTATTATTTGCGGTATAAGGTCGCTGCCTATTAGACTATCTATTTGAGCGGGAGTGTTGCAGTTAGGATCTGCTAGCTTTAGGCAGAGAATGTTAATAAATAGAGAAGGCGCAAATGTTAGCTGTGCTAAAATGTAAACCATTAAAAGGGAACAACGAAAATGCGCAAATTCGAAAGTTCAATTACACCACATCAAAAAGGTAGCTTCCCCTCATGATAATCGAACTCAACAAACTACACCACTTTAACAAGGAACCAAGTAAATTGTTACAACCTTATAAAGGAACGACTAATATATGTATGCGCAGATGTTCTTTGGCATGCGTGTTTGGTAAAGTTAGAATAACAAAAAGAAATAATAGATTTTGAAGAATATTTATATATAATATTTATTTTAAATTAAAATAATTAAAAAAAAAAAACGTTTATAAAAATTAAAAAAGGAATAAAACCTCTACATCTGTGCTAAGATGTGAACTCAGGCAAATATTTGATGTGAATTTGCAAAAACGAGCTGTGCTAAACATGCAGCACGACAGACATTACAAATAAATATATTCAAATCTGTCAGCTCAAACAGCTATTGTCATTTACTAGTTTGAAATGATCAATTTATATATGAATATTCTTGAAATTGCATTTCCTCCATTCGCATGTCCAAATATATTTGCATATATGTACACATATGTATGTAGATATGTAGGTATATCCCTCAATATGCCTTTTGTAAAAAAATCAATAATTCGCGCAAGCGACAAAAAAAAAATCGCAGACGCACCATCATCGACCAATAAGATTCGATTAAGCTTGTTTTCTACATATTTCATATTACAACGCCAACAAATTCATTCATAAGGAACGGGCGTATGCTACAATACGAAGTGCGGTCGTTTATAACTCTGCATTGCGCTCTTTTTTCTGTGCGCCTGGTCAACCAAATTTGGTTTTCATATGGAATTCCTACCGCGGATGCGCGAAAATGATGTTTAAATAAAAATTAATGAAATTGAATTAGAATGGATGGCTTCAGTAAAATCAGCAAAATTTCAATTTTACGCTTTTTATCACTGAAAATCCTATGTTGTCATTTGGGTTTTTTAAACCTCTTGTCAGAACCCCATTTTTTGCTCCGCCCCGTCTCCGTGAGAACTCGCACATTACTTCCATGGCGTGCCATCATGGACAGAGGCGTTTCAACGGAGGATTTATTTTTTATTATTATATTGATTAATTTGTATTGAGAAATACTGATATCTTAGGGCTTAGTTACGCAATATTATAATATTTACGTAAAAATATACTTACATTAAATGCATATTTATTTAAAGGTTTTTAAAAAAAATTCGATTAATAAAAATATAGCTAATAAAATTTTATGGCAGTGCACCCCAGACTCCTCCTTGCATGCCATTGTTCAACTTGCTTCTTGGAAAAAACAAAAAGTGTTGACAAAAGTCATTGTTTGTGCCAGGCTAGAAGAAGCAAGCCTCAGCGTCGTGTACTTATGAATGTATGTGTTATTGTCACATTTGTGTAAATACGCATAAATAAGGGAATATGCAATAAACCTAAACATATGAACATATTTCCTGGATAATTTGAATTATCTCAGGAAGTAAAATATGCTATTAAAGTAATTGAATTGAAATTAGCTAAAATCTCAAATAATAAAATAAAATAAAAATTAACATTTATGATTTGCAGGATTCGAACTTAAGCGTTTGTATTGGGAATGGCTTAACTCCTTCACGCTTACGATCTGAGCCACCGTAAAGCGAAATCGCGGCCGCTTAGCCACTATTTTATTGCTATCTTTTGCCTATTAGATACTGTTCATGCAACGCACAAAAATGTGTTGATGAATTTATTTATAATTACTTATTTTGTTGTAAATTCTGCGGATTTAACCAATAATCCTCTTATATAATTTGAAGGTTTATTTAAAATTACAAAATTTATGATTTTTTTGTAATGTGCAAATGTAAATCAAGATGCGCATAATTCATTTAAGAACATTCTTTGTGTCTTTTTATAGCCTTTATGCGTATTTCAAAAGAGTCGAAGTTTTATTTTTCGATGTTCCCTCTTGTGAAAAGCTCAATTTAGTACTTCTTAACATTTGCGCCTTCTCTATTTATTAACATTCTCTGTCAGTAGTCTCAATGCGAATTTTGAAAAACTTGAACTTTTGCTAAAAAGTCGAATATGTAAACCATATGTTATAGTTTGTAGTGAAACGTGGAATTTAATTGAACATATATTATATTCATTAAATGGTTATAGCATACGTTATAATCAAAGCAGTATAAATAAGGCATATGGAGTAATAATGCATGTCTCAAATGCTCTAAAACACTCCACATCCGTAGATACTATCGGGCGTTGCAATTTTCTCTCTACATGTATAAGTATTAACAATAATTTAAATTTAAAGGTAACTGGAATGTACAGGTGTCATGACATCCCTGAGAATTAATTTATTAACAATTTAAAAGAAATACATGGATACTAATTCTAAGATTAAAAACCATATATTAGTTGGAGACTTCAATATAAATTTAAATGATGTAGACTATCACTCAGATCTACTACTATCAAGTGTTTAAGATATGAATTATGTACCGTTTTTTAATAATATTACCAGGCCTTATAGTGAGGATGGATCATGTATAGATAATATGTTCGTTAAAACAAATATAATTCGATAAATAGTAAATCTAATTGTAGTAAAGACTTATGGAATTATGTAAATAATAAATTAGGTAAAAATGTAAAGGCATCTAAAGATATAGACTACTTAATCGAACATGATGTGAAGATCACTAACTCTGCCGAAATTGCTGATACTTTTGTAAATTTTTTTTAGTAATATGGGTATAAATTTAGCTGCTAAAATGAAAAAACAGATAACAGTACGGTGTATAATATAGAAAATAATGCTAAATAAATTTTTGTTAAGCCAACTGATGAACAAGAAATTGAAAAAGTAATCAGAAACCTAAAAGACAAAGCTGGGGAAGTTGGAATTGACACTAAACACTAAAGTCTTAAAAATAATCAGTACATTTATTAGTAAACCATTGGAATTTATCTTTAATAACTGTATGACTATGGGAATATGGCCAAATGGATTAAAATGTGCAGAAATCCTACCAATTTATAAATCAGGAGACAAACATAAAACTAATAACTATCATCCAATATCCTTAATTTCTAATACAGCAAAAGTTTTTGAAAAAATTATTCATAAACGAATTTATAACTTCATAACAGACTCAAAAATTATTGCGAAAAACCAATATGGCTTCTTAAAAAATAAAGGCACTAAGGATGGAATAGTAGCAATTACCAGTTTTATATACACTAATACTGATAAAAATAATTCAACAGTGATTCCTGGATTTAGCGAAAGCTTTTGATACAGTAGATCATGTTTTATTGCTGGATAAATTATATAAATATAGAATCAGAGGAACCGCTGTTGATTTAATTCGTGACTACCTTAAAAACAGATATCAAGTGGTTAAAGTTAACGGGGTAAAAAGGAAATAATGTAAAGTTCAAATAGGGGTGCCGCAACGTACAATCTTGGGACCACTGCTTTTTCTTCTATATGTAAATGATATCTTTTAGGAACTACCTGAAAACTGTTTATCAGCTTATGCAGATTATACAATAGTTAAATGTATAGGTAAATCTTGGGCGGAAGCTCAATCACAAATGAATGTACAGTTAAGTTTAATAAGGAATTGGATGTTAATAATTACTTAACTCTAAATGTTGAACAATAACTATATAACTTTCGGTTCATATAAAGACAGTATTCCAGAAAGTTTTGAGTTAAAAATGTATGATAAGACCATTAAAAGAACTGATAATTGTAAAGACTTAGGTATATATTTTGATAGTCACATGAGATGGGATATTCAATCAAAGAAGTCATAAAAAACTAGATATTTTCTATTTATATTCTCAAAGTTTAAAAATATAATGAAAAAGAAAGCACTAAAAACAATTTATTACGCATTATTTGATAGTATAGTCAACTATCAGTCAATTATTGCCTGGGGGTAGTTATAAGAATGTTACAAATTTTTAATAAAAATACGAGATAAATTAATTAATCATTTATGTGATAAAAACCCGTACTGGGTATTAAAAAGAAATTTATTTCTGAGTCATTATGTTATCATTATTCCGATTGTAGAGAGGTATTTAATGAATATAAAGGTAAGGCTAAACTGTTACAGTTACCAAAGATTAATAAAAATAGATATCTTACAAAGACTCGAAATATATAGCACACTACAATATGTTACCGCTGACTCTAAAATTGTTAAATATTGAAAATAAAGCAAGCAAAAAGAAAATAACTGAGTGGATTGTAGACACTGATATTAACAATTCTATGTTTTCTTTTGTTTTTCAATTATAAATGACATTTTTATTTATAGATTAGTGCTTAATTATAACAAACTAATATTACCAGGCCTATGTACAGGTGTTTTGTAACACCTCTATAGGTGCATACTTTATATGTAATATTTACTTTGTATCCTGGGATAAATAAATGAAATAAATAAAAATCTATATAGATATATATACAAGTGAATGACAGTGTGTAGTAACATACATAAACACATCGAAAACAAAAAAAAAACAAACAAACAATGATTTAGGCTACCAATTTGCTTGTTAAATTGGAGACCATTTGTTTTTGTGTTGTCAATATGATAAAAAAAATCATTTCTAAAAATATACTGAGTTACTGATTCAACTTACCTGCCATGGAAACACTCACAAGAAGTTCAGCCGTAATTTTACTAAAGCTGATATAGCTTATAATAATTCTTCGGTCCATCCTCTGGTAGAATGCCACTATTTCTTTGCTTGGGACGTGTAGAACTACAATTGATGCCGGAGCCGTTTCGGCTTAAAATACATATATAGATATATACAGGTCATTCCATCGAAAAATTACATTCAAAATTTTTTTTCGTACAAAAACTTTTTTTCGTCTTCTTTGAAGCAAAATATTGGAAACATATTTTTTTTATTTCAACTCAATATGAAAAATTTTTAAGCTATGAATTTTCGAAATTTCAACTTTTGGAAAAAGTACCTTTTAACATTTGCGAATTCGAAGAAAGTAGTTCTATATAAGAATACCATAACTAGCCGGCCTATTCTTTACGATTTTTTCTAAGCTTTCTAATGTGATAAATGTTGAATTTATTCGACTTTTTTTATGAATAAATAATTTTTTTTTCCATTTTGGAACCAATTTTATTCAGTTTCTTTTATTGAAAAAAATAAAGCATACAAATAAATACCTTTCACAAAAATCGGATTGACTACACCAGTAAGTGTTTGTTCTTTAAGTTTAACATATTTTCTTCATAATCGAGGTGTAAATGATTCAGAATAATTCTAAAAAATATCTAATACATCTTGTTTCCAAGATATTTATTATTATATCCTAAACAGGGTATATTAAGTTTGCTACGAAGTTTCTTACACCCAGAAGGAAACGTCAGAGACAGTATACTCGTAAAATTTATATATAAATGATCAGCGTGACGAGCTGTGTCGATTTAGCCATGTCCGCCCGTCTGCCTGTCTGTATATACTAAAGTAGACTTTTAGTTTTTGAGATATTTTGAGATACAATTTTTCACACATATTTTTCTCCCGAAGAAGCCGCTCATTTGTCGAAACCGCTGCTATCGAATCACATTAATAATATATAGCTGCCATAAAAACTGAGCGATCAAAATGAAGTTCTTATGTATATGAAACTTTTCATTGGTGAAGGGTATTCTAACTTTAGTTTTAATATAAAAATTTTGACTTTGATCTTTGAAAATTGCGAGAGTATAAAAATGAAAACTGTAATATAGCTATAAAACACTTACGATACGAGTATTAAAATTTTATTATTTGCTTTAATGTAATCTAATTGTCTAAGTGTAGCAACTACTTTAAGTACTTACCTATAACCAAATCATCTCCATCGAT